CCCCCCCCGGTCGTCGATCGATAACCAATCATTCATTTCATTCACTACACTAGCTATTATGAATTAACATTATTAGTATTATTATTGTTAATTATTATCGTCGCGATTTTCAATCATATGAACAAAATATTTGAAAAAGTTTTCTAATGATTAGAAATCAGCTTGGAATATTTATTTTTTTAGAATAAACTTAAGATGTTCAGATTTTTCAAAATTTTTTCAAATTCAAAAAAACTTCAGGACAAAATTCCAAACGTCGGGCCAGGTCTCGGGTCATAGCAACCTAAAGCAATGAGTGACCAAGCCGTCGGTTTCATCACCTGTATTGTATCATGCATTTCATTTGGTGTCATGTTTACGCCGCTACGAAAATTTGACAGCAGAGATGGTTTGTAATGCTCTGAAATCTTATTTTATTGCTAAAACTTTGCAGTGAGTGATAAAATTATCAGTCAGCTCTTATCAGCACCATTATCAGTTGTTATCAGTGGATGTATTGCTTGTATTTATCGATGTTATCAGTAAGGCAGTACATCCCATAAAGGCGTAACTGCCTTGTTTGAGACTCGTTATCAGTGACTCGGCTCGTTATCAGTAGCTAATTATCTCGTGTCTCCTATCAAACACGAGATAATTAGTTTGGTATTTTGTATTGGAAATTTTTAAGGGATTCAAAGGAACAACACTGAAATATGCCCAGATTCGAATATGCGGAAGTAAGCTAGCGATTTTGGGAGATTAATAGAGATCTAGCATTGGTAATGGGTGCCTTGTTGGGTATCTTTTTGGGAAGTCTATCATTGTTAGCGGGTATTTTTTTGGGTAGATACCTTGAAAGCGAATGAATCTAGAATTACCCGAGAAATTCCTGCAGGATTCTTCGTACAATGGGTTGAGTGCTCAGTGGTGTTTCTATTCGGCTATGTGATCAACGTGGTGCGCAATTTTCCACCGTTTCAACCGATCGCAATCATTGGTGGTTTCCTGTTCGCGACGGGTAAGTAGTCGGTCGTTTCCCAAGCGCTTTCCTGGGAAATCAAACAAGCAATTGTTGATCAGACTGATTTTCAGGGAATGTCGCCGCAGTGCCACTGATTAACGGTCTTGGAATGGCACCCGGAATGCTTATTTGGGGATCTACTATGGTACGGACATTAGCTGTGCTAACATTCCGCTAAGCTATTGAATTTGATCCGATTTGATCCAAATTGATCATAAAATTGATCCAATCTGAACAAATCAAATCCTTTGAAAGCTTTGAGATGAATCAGTCAAAATTTGAACTGAAAATTTTGGAATTTTGAGAAATTTTGAGGCGCAAAAACTTTTTCAGGTGATCGGAGGCTGGTCAGCCGGTCGCTTTGGCCTCTTCCACACCGTACCTCAACGAGTTGTCAATGAAAAAATGAATGTTAGCGGACTGATTCTAGTGCTAATCAGGCGAGTCGAGTCAATCAGGCGAAATTTTAGCACGAAAGCGTTTTTTTTTGGAGCTGATTCGAGCTGATTTTCATCTCAAATCTGAGTCAAATTTAGCTGACTGATCTGGTCTGATCGGGAAGCAAATTTTCTGGTTTAAATTTCCGATTGAAATCTCCAAAATTTCCGAAATTTTCCACCGATTACGATGAATTTACTCTGAATTACAGTGAATTTCAGTAGTGTAATGTTCATGTTCGTTGAACACGAAGACCAGAAGAAGGACGTTTTGCAGTACGTCAAATCCGATCCGAATCCCTTCTCCACGAAAAATCTCCGTGCAAACCACCGATGGATCTGCAAAAAGCTCTTGTAAGCGGCGGATTTTCGTTGCTGAAAAAATTAGACGAAAAAAAAATTGCGCAAAAATGGAAATTCCCATGCCGGGAATCGAACCCGGGCCGCGTGGGTGAAAGCCACGAATCATATAGACCACATGGGACATATTTAAGGAAGTCTCAATTGTTGATTAGAAATTTGAATGTAATTGTTGCTAAAGTGAACTGAACAACTTGAGGCACTAAAATTAAAGCAGGTGCTGATTGATCAGTCGATAAACTCGATTACTGATCAATCAATAAGTTCAATTACTGATTGATTTGTGATTCAGTTACTGATTTGTGCTCTGAAATCTTGAAATGGAATCGTATAAATGGCAGAAAATTGCATTTTGTGGAAAAAAATTTGAAAAAAATTCAAGCTGTTCCAAGGGGGAATTTCCAAAAGTCCGCTGAAA